AGATAAAATAATAATATCAGATTGTATATTTTTTAAAATCTTATAGATTGGACTAAAGAACAAGGAATACAATTTTGATCGAGATGTTGAAATTATATATTCGTTTCATTAATGAATTATTTATAAATATAATGTAATTTATAATAATTTTAATTGTAATAGAAATCTTTATTTTTCCTTTCACTGATCATTTAATGTACGTGATATTTCATTGCATATGAAACAATATATCATTATCATCATCATATATTGATATCATATATAATTGATATCATCATATAGTTGATATCAATCATATATTGAATTAATTATTATTATTATATTATTATCAAAAATTATTATAAATATTATAAAAATTATTTTAAATAAAAATTATAATACATAAAATTATTTATCATACATATGAAAAATATTCTATAATCAATTATATTTTATAATTTATAGTTATAATTTATAAAATTTTATATTTTATAATTTATATTTATAAAGAATGAATTTAGACAAAATAAAATTGAATTAGAGAATAATATTATGTAAAGCTGCATTATGCAAAAATTTCTCACATTTGCAAATTTTATACGATTGATATACGTATAAGTTTTATACGATAATATATATACAATATAGTATATGATATATATAATATGTTGAGATATACTGATATCGGTAAAGGAATCTTTCTATAGTCATCTTGATGACGTCACAAAACTTTAGTCTGCTATTCTTAAAGAATGTCGATTGAACACCTCTTTAAACTTATGATCTCCTGGTTGTACCATCGATCATCATAGATCATCGATCGTCATTATTAATGATCGAAATATGTAAACAGAACAAAATCGAAAATGAAATTGAAGTAACTATTTGCATCGAATGATATGATAATTTGATGAATCGATTTTATTAATGATCAAATTTTAATTATTTTTTATTTTTTGTAAGATTAAAGTTAAATTGAACATTTGACTAAGATTTTATAAAGAAAAAAATATGTTGATTTAATAAATTTTTCTATGTGAAATATAAAGATATTTTAAAATCAAATTCTATATTGTAAAATCAAATTCCATATACTGTTTTTAAAAATAAAAATTGCAATGAGTATAGCAATAATTCATGTTTCATAAAATATAATAAATATGAAATATATATGAAATTGCTAATGATCAATACTATGATATTTTATTATAGTTTTTCCTTGCTGTCAATTATTTATAATATATATAATATAATAACATAATATCAAATTTTTAAGTACTGTTGTCATATAAGAAAAATATATAAGTTTAGATCTAAAAATATAAAGATATAATTTTATATTTTGTAACTTACTTATTATACCGTTAGATGGCAACACATTCACGGAAATTGTTAAATAATATTAAGTATATACTTCATTTTTAATTCTATATGAATCTTTTAGAAGAAAATTTTAAAAGAAAATAAATTAAAGAAAAAATTATTTTCAAATATATAATTTGATAAATAATTAATAATTTGTATATTCTATAATAACTATATCATAATAATTTTTTTTAAGCTATATCATTAGTTATATCATTTAATGAATCGAAACAAATTTAGTTTTTATTACCATATTTTTCATGTAACTATGAATACTTAACAAAAATAATTATTTCATTTTAAATTTATTTCTGATTTTTAAAATTGAATATAAAAAATTGATTGAATTTTAATTTTTATTCAATTATATATTAATTAGAAATTTACATAAAGTATTAATTAAAATTAAAATAATAAGCTTATATTTATCTTTATCTTTTTTTTTAATTTTTTATTTTTTTATATTAATTGAAGAAATAAATAAAATTTTGTTTCATTAATTTTATAAATTATAAAATTAAAAAAAATAAGAAAATTTTTTTAATCTTTGAACATTCAAAACAATTCTTGTTAAAAATTAGAACAAGTTATACCTAACCTCAAAATGAATATCCTATTAGATGCCAATTTTTTTAGTTATTCCATGTTATATATAATGAATGGAAATAGGAATTTCACATTTTGTTCTACAGCAACATTATGCAAGAGATTTTTTCTTTTTATGAAAGGAATTTTTTCTCTCATTAATTTCATTTTCATTTTCATTTTCAGAAAATGATCATGTAATAAAGGATATCAAATATTTGTTCTATAAGTCAAATTTATTTTTTGGTTTATTTTTTCATATTAATAAACATTAAATTATTTATTTCTTTAAATTATTTATAAAATTTAAGAAATATATGCATACATAGAAATATTGGTTTTACTATCATTTGATATTTTGAAATTATTTAATCTTAAGCATAACATTTATAGATAAATTTTAAAATCCACTTTATTAATATGTTCACAATCGATTATATAACCTTTATCTTGTAGGGGAATACGAAGTGAGTCATCTATGAATTACCATTGTGTACCCGTCTATGCATGAATCGACATTTTCGACAAAGTATGCGATGTGATCTGCTTATTACAAGTGTGATAAACATGCAATATTCTTGAAAGTCTTGATCTCATTCTGCTGTATTTATAAAATATTTTGTGAGTAGTTAACTCCATAGATAAGATTATATCTTGATCATAAAGAAGTTATTATTTCGCCAAATTGTAGCACGTGTTCATTCATATTATTATTAAGTATGTAATGTTTATAATAACTTTAAAAATTATTTTATTTGTTTTGGAATTTTGAATTATTTATTCTCTATAAACATTTCATAAAAAAAATTTAATATATCATTTTTTAAATCAGAAATATAAAGATTTTTAAATTATTATTTTATATTATTTATCTTCTCAAAGAATATTTTTCATGATATATATTTATATATTTTATATGAGAAGTGATGTGAAATAAGCATTTTATTTTAAAATGTTTTTTAATAGTTAAATGTTTTTTAATATTTAAAAATAAACATCATAAGTTTTAGTTTTTAATTAAATTCTGGTTCATTGTCCACATTTTTCTTTATTTCCTATGATTACAGGTTTGTTATGATTGAATTATGAATCGCAAACTACTATGACATGTACTTATTCTAGAAAATACTCTTTCTTGCTTCACTTTGAGAAAAAAATTTTCGTGAAATATTCATTATTCCAGATAATATAATATAATAATATAAAAAATATTATTTAAAAATTTATTTAAAGATTAATTTTTATTTTAAATTAATGAAAATTTTATTAACAAATTAAATAAAAAAAACTTACACAATGTTATTAAATAAATTATAAAAATTTTCGAACAATTTAAAATCATATATTAAATTATGAAATTATGAAATCCTAATTGGCTTTTAATTAATTTAATATGTTGAATCATTTCAAAAATTTCTATATATGTCATTAATTTTATCTCTCTTATATGACATAATTGTGCTATAATATATATCATTTTTAATTATCTTAAAATGTGATCATTTATCAATATAAAGTCATCGTGTTAAATTATATTTATCAATTATCTTTAGATATAAAAAATTTCAGACAAATTTTATTATATTAATTATCTTGAGAAAATTCATTTTTTTATCAAATATTATAAATAATTGTTTTAATAAATTCAACATGAGAATTAACATGATAAAATGTTATCATTAGAGTTAATAAAGTTAGGTTATGATAAGTAAGATTTCGATTTGTTTTCATATCATAATACTTGCCAAACGATTTGTATATATATTTTATGAATATATATTTACACGATATGTATTATACATACATTTCTACATATATTTTCATATTGAATAGAACTTTGGATTAGAACCAAATTCTATTATCGTATGACTAATATTCAAATTTTTGTATCTTATTAGTATAATAAATAAAATTGATAGAAAATTAATTAATATTAAATAATAAAATACTTTTTCAAATACTTGAATAAAAATATGAAAAAAAAATCATTAGTTGCAATTTAATTATTAAATTACTGTAAATAACTTATGTATTAAGTCGAAGTTTTGTTAAAATTTTTTCTGTCGATTAAAAAGAATGTATTACTATTAAAATATTTTTATAATTTTTATAAATATTTTTAAATTCAAAAGAATTGTATTAAAATTTCTAAGACGATTTTTTTTAAAGTTCGGAATATTTTGAAAATAAACTTTGTTAATATATGAATTTTATTTATTAATTGTTTGTATAAATTCTTATTTGGAACAATATGTGATCTAAATATACATATATATAATATTTTATAATAAAACGGTATTTTTAGATCAGATATACTCTATATATATTTGTATCAAATGATTCACAGTTTTGATATTACATAAAAAAAATAAATAAAACTTTTAAGATAGTAGTATAAATCAAATAATAGTTTTATCAATAATCTATGGTATTTATCTCCTATTTAATAATAGGAGAAAAAGAAAAAATTAATTAATTTTTAAACAAAAATACAAATATGTAAAATTCTTATTATAAAAGGATATAAACAGTTCGAAGTACAGTCTTGCTCAATAGATTGATTGAAAATAAAAAAAACAAAAAATGGAAAAATTTGATAATATTTGACCACAGTTAGTACAAGCTATAAATCATCAAGTTCATTTTAAGTGAAAAAAAAGAAATTGTTAATATAAATTGTTATATAAATCCAAAATTTTATTTATTTATTATAAATTGAAATTAAAATAAAAATTTTTAAAAATTGTACTATAAAATAATGCAAATATTATATTATTTCAATGATTATGATATATTTTAAATAAATAACAATCAATAGATAATAATAATCAATAGATTTTACAAAGATTTATCAATAATTATTTAAAAACTACATAATACGATCATTTTTGGTTCTTCATTCTGAATGTCACGTATCATTTAAATACGCGAAAAACAAACGAGTTCTCGAAAGAGCCCAACAGAGAGGAACGTTCTAGTAGCCTCTAGTCTATTCATTCGGTTGCTCTCGTAGCGATTCGGCCATATTCGGCGTAGCAGTCACGTGGCTTTCTACAGCCCACACAATAAATATATTTAAGTTGCTCCGGGAACGCACTGACAGTTTCACTATTGACCCGAAAGGAGTATGTTTTATAACGCACGTATCCTGACGATTTTCTTGAAAAGACTTTTTTTTTCAATAAAAAATTTCTACATGCGAGTGTGTGATACAAAGTGTAAAAAAATAGACTAACATCAATAGTGATTATATTATATAACGAAAGAAAGAAGACAAAAAGCTAAAATTCTAGCGAGGAGATTAAAAGGAAGGATAAGAACAACTGTCACATGTTTTCTTGGTAATATTACAAGATTTTTAAAAAAAGAAAACGAAAGTGTGTTTTAAATTATTTATTTTTCGTTCCGCCTTTTTTTGTTAACATATCGGCAATGT